ACCACCCCCCACCCACACACACACACACACACACACACACGTAGCCCTTCCTTCCTGGCACGGGGGCAGGGAGACCTAGAGAGCCGCTGCGTGGCCCGCATCAGGGCTGCTCGCCCGACCCGACGGGGCAGCCTTTGCTGGAGCTGGGGTGTCTCATGACCCAGCGCTGACATGTGGCTTACTCCACATCAGTGTGGCAAAGTATTAACAACTGTTGGACCCAAGCAGAGAGCAGATCGATTTTCACCATTGTGTTGCTTCTACATGTAGTACTTGAGAACTTTCCTAACAAAAGGTAAGTGGGCAAAAATGGCCTTGAGTCTTTTTTCCACATCTCGGCCCATCTGGGCTCTATCTGTCCAGAATAACTGCTGGCTGCCCACACCCCCTCCCGCCAAGCCCCGGACTCTGCCCTGTCAACGACCTGGGCGGCTAGGGTCTGTGGACAGGCCGAGCTTCGAGCATGCCCACATGAGATGAGAGCACTTGCACAGATCGCGGTCAAGTGATCATGGGCACCGTAACAGGAGAGCCCGAGGCGGCCACGACAAGGTCAGAGCGAGCCAGGCCGGGCACCAGCTCTCGGGGACGGGCACAGGGCAGAAGGGGCTCCTCCTCCCAGCGAGCTGAAAGAGGACAACAGAAGGCAGAGGAAGGGTCTGGGCCAGCAGAGGCCAGCCAAGCCAGGCGGGGCAGACCCACGGGGCCCTCCAACTCGGGGGACGTTACCGCCGGCTGTGCAGTCGCTGACTCAGAGGTTTCTAGACCAAGCCTGGAGCCGTGCACGACAGCACTGCCTGCTGGCCTCCAGGGCCAGCTCCAGCCAGCTCCTGACCACGGGTCTGACCTGCTCACGGCTACCAGAACTATTGCCGCGACCTCGAGAGCCCTCCCCCCCTCCGCAGAGACAGTCTCTTCAGTGCCCACGACTCCTCCTCCGTCCCATGCCCGTCCTGACTCAGCCCAGCTGGCAACACGGCTCGGCGTGGCTCCCAGCCTGGTAGGGCCTGGCACTTCCGCGCAGGCGCCCTCGGGCTTCCAAGGACTCAGCGAGCTGGCAGGTGAGACCCCGCTAGGGTCCTGGAAGCTGCCACCCACACGGACCCGACACCCTGGGGCCATGGCCGCTGGCACGAAGGGCCAAGGCGCAGAGGCAGATTTCTGGTGACTAAAACCAGCTTCTGAAGAAAGACCCACGACACTTTAGTGGGAAACACATTTGTGTTCACGCATCAATTGGTTCCTTCTGCAGCCAGCTTACTCCAGGTCAGGAGCCCGGCCACTCAGGTCAAGGTGGGCCCTCACCACAGGGCCCTAACACCCCTTCGCTCACACAGACCGGGACGGTGGTCACGCTAACGAACTCGCGTGCACGTACCTGGGACGTTAGCAAAACACAGATTCAGGGAGCCCCAGCCACCCCCTCAGGCTGTGGCCCTGGCCACTCGACATTTAGCCCAGACCACGTGGCTTCCCCTGAAGACCTGCCATAGCATAAAACGTGTGAAGGGATCAATTGAGAACAAGGGAAGGCAGGCGAGCCCACGGCAGGGGAGGCCACAGCCGGGGCGGGGCGGGCACGCACAGGGCCGAGCCACGGGGGGCGCCCGCGCGACGAGCCTCCCCATGCGCGGCCCTGCGCCCCGCCTCTCGGAGCGAGGCCCCCACCACCGACGGAGCGCAGCCCGCGCCCCGCACAGCTGCTTCCCCAGGCCCCCCACCCTGGCCCCATGACCAAATGGCCAACAGCTCTACTATGGAAACGGACAAAACAAACAGAAAGAAGGAGCCAGGGGCCCTCGGGGCGGGGTGCGTGCAGACCACAGCCAGGCTGGAGCAGCTGAAGAGGCGGGCTGGGGGCCCGGGCCCAGACCCAGAGGGAGGTGGGCGCTGGGCCCCCCCGGCGGGGCCCTCCTCCTCTCGGCAGAAGCCAGCCCCGTCCAGAAGCTTCGAGGGAGATGGGCGGCACCTCGACTTTTGAGGTGCCAGTGTTGCGGCCCCCTGAAGGGACTGTCCCCCCAAACACCCCGACATCCCCGACCCGTGGCCTCCTGCGCCCCAAGCACAGCCTCCACACAGGCACAGTGGGCACCAACGGCCGCCTAGAAGCCCACTTTGTCCAGGGCAGCGCGTGTGTGGCACAGCCCGCATGAAGGTTGATGGGCCCACGGGGAGGCTGCCCAGCGCGGCCAGTGCCGGCCTGCTCCAAACACAGGCGGGCGGCGGGGCAGCCCCAGCCGGGCCCCGAGTGGCCAGGCCGGGCGCCCCGAGGCCCGCCCTGGCCTCCGGGAGCCCCCGCAGAGCCCGGGACTCACCTGAGCCCTCGCTGCACTCAAAATTTATGACGCTCATACGCTGGAACCCCGAGCTGCACTCCTCGCCGCCAGAGAAGATCAGGGTGAGGTCTCCGTCGGAGTACCTGGGTTTCGTCAGAGACAGGCACACGTTAGCGAGAGCCAGGACAGACGCGGGTTTGTAAACACGTCTCCGGGCAGTCTCTCGCAGGCCGCCAACAAATCACCGGTGACACAGAGCAGCGCGCTCCTGGCCAGTGGGGGGACGCGGAGGGGAAACGGCCCCCAGCACGGCCCCCAGCCACAGCAAGGCGTCTCTGGCCCTCGTTTTCAGGTTCTAGGCAAAAGAAGTGGCACCCAGGGGCGCTCAGCTGCCCAGAGGCTGCCATCAGCACGCGCTCGCCGGCGGGTCCTGCTGGACCCTCTTCTCAGGAAACCACACTCCAGCACACCCCTGCCAGGCCGGGGACGGTCCGGCTCGCGAGCCGCAGAAAGCGCCTCTCGGTCATCCGCAACTTTCCGGCAGTGCTCGCCGGGGGCAGCTTCTCCTGCTGCCAGCGAGGACCCCCCCAAAGGTAGGGAGTGGGGGGGGTCGCAGGGTGTGCGGGGAGCGGGAGGCTGTGAAGGACACATCTGCAGAGGCCTGAGCCTGCCAGCCCTGGAGACACACAGACGTAAATCTATGTGACCTCGACACCTGTCACCTGGGAGGAATAAATTTGATATTGAATTTGCGGGGCTACATCCGTTTTCAAATAGGAAACTGTCCAACCCGCGGGCTGCAGCTCCTCACGACGCGGCCGCCACGCAGTTTTACAGCAGCCGTGAGGGGCCCAGGCCGCGTCCAGCCGAGCGGAGGCCGCCCGCGGCTGGGGGGCGGGGGAGGGGGCGCGAGGCCAGCAGGGTCAGGGACGCCGTACCGGAGAGTCTGGTTCTGGCTCCTGCCGGCGACTTTGACTTGCAGGGTCTGGGACTTCTTCACCTGGCACACGGTGGTGCCCTGCCCGCACACCCCCGTCCTGGGGCCTCCGCAGAGATTCAGGTAGAACGTGTACTCCCCGCCATCCACAGCGTAGTAGGGGGTGGGTTTAGCTGGAGGAGTGGGGACACGGAGGCGTCACCCGTCTGGCGGGGACGCCCGGCCGACCAGGCCGCGCCCGCCCCCGCCTCCCCAGCCCCCTCACCGACGATGCGCAGGGGCTGCAGGTTGACGGCGATGTTGTGCTGGCCGCTGTTGAGGACGCAGCTCCCGCTCTCCAGGTAGTCTCGGGGGCAGGCGTACTCGGTGACCCACTCCACCTCGAAGCGGCAGTTGGACTTGGCCGTGAGCTTGGGGAGGGTGCCCTGTGGGGAGCCCCGGGGGCGAGCGGAGCCGCCATTTAAAAGCGGCTCGCGGCAGCTTGGCCTCGCCGACCCCCCGCTCGGGGGAGCACGAGTCACCCCAGGGGCCTGCGGCCAGCTGGGCCCGAGCCCCACGTCCGGGCATCGCGGCGCGGCAGACGGGCAGAGGGAAGGACGGGGTCGTGGCGCTGCCCAGGCTGGGCGTGATGCGCCCCTGCTCCGCGCGGGCTCCGGGCGCAGGGGCAGCAGCCCAAAGCCAGCCCAGAGCCGGTGCCCTCCGCACCCCACGGGGCAGCCGAGCGCCTCGCACTTGTGCTGCCCGACCCCGGGCCAGGCGAGCCGGGCACGGGCCTCGCTCCGCGTGCCTGGACCGTCAGCGGTCCAGGGAGGGCAGGTCCAGAGAGCCAGGAGGGAGGCCGAGAGGCCGCGAGGCGGGCAGCAGCTGGACAGACCGCACAGGGTGTCTGCGGGGGGATGGCGTGACGGCACCCCGTGCGCTCCATGGGGTGGGGGCAGCCCCACTGGGTGACAGTAGCGACTAACGTCTGCGGCAGGACGCTCAGTGCGCCCAGCGCCCCCGGAGAGATCCCGGGC